TTCTCGAGAAAGGGAAGCGCTGGCTTTCGTTTTGCAGCTTCTCAGGTGTTGAGAGAACTGCCTGTTGACTTGTCTTGCTATGCGTGATTTAGCACGCTGTTCGTGTATTTGTATAGGGCCTAGGTCTAAGTGGACATCTTCACACTCACCACTCTAGCCGAACCAATATGGGTAGAAATGGAAGGCTTTGCCACCGACACATCAAAAGAGCCAACACCACAAGGAAGCTCCGCCATGCTCCATCCATGGTAGACTGTGCGCCCAGGTTGGCCTGGCAATCGCTGGTTGGAGCTGGCGGGACGAGCTCTCAGAGAGAGGGAAACCCCCGCCCCCAGCGCTTCTCCAGTACTCGCTATAGTCGCTCCAAGTAGATACAGCGGTTTCGGAGTAGATGGCACTGGCACCCCAAGATGACTTAGACAGATGGGGGTCCATATACTTGTAAACCACCAATTTTGGACATTTCTGCCATTGGTCCTCTCCATCCACGATAAGAAATTATATTGTCCTTTCTTTCTTGGCAGCCGCCCCTTTTCAAGAATCTTCCATCCAACACTCGGTCCTCATCCATACCCTGGGTGTGCCCCTTGCAACCACCTTTGGCTCCAAACACGAGGCTTGTTCAACCCAAGACAAGCAGCACACCGATTCACGTTTAGCACTCCGACAGCCTGCTAGTCCAGCCAGCCACCCCATGACTGAAGGGTCAGACCAAACATTTGTTTGTTAATTACATAGACCGAAAATGTGTCGCGACAGGCCATCAAAATCCTTGAAAATCCGTTTTCTTCGGAGCCCATGTGCTCGTCCATCCCCAGCCCAGCCCTTCTGAAGACACCCCCTTTCAGATGAATCAGGACCTCTCCAGTCAACCAGTTTCATCCGAAGACAGGACGTTGTGGTGTATGTTTGGGGGGATGTGTGACATGTCCCGGGAGGGCCCCTTCTCGACATGGCCACGCAAGTGGGCCAAAACCAGAAATCACACGGAAGAAAGCGAAGGTGTCAAGTCTTTGAGACTTGTTCAAGGTCACCAATGGCCAGTTTCCACCAAAGTAGGCTCTAGGACACAGCAGAAACTTTGCATATAGTTGTGTGTGACTTGGAGGCCCCTTTTTGACAATTGTCCAAGTGTTTTTTGTTAAACATCGTGTTCTTTTTGGAAAAACAAACAGGTTGACCTTTTCACTGTTTTGTCGTCCTCCGTTTAAAGTAATTCACTGTTTCCAACCCACAGTGGCACATGTCCAGAAAGCAAGTGCGTTTCACGCGAAAAGACCCCGGAGTGGCGTTTTGGGAAGCTTCGTAGCGGGTTTGCGGGCTTGGTGATATATTGAGCTGGTTGAGGTGGTTGAAACCCACACACAACAGAACGATACATTGGCCTTCTAGAGGGAAGAGCGAATTGGAATCCAATTTGTTGAGGATCAGAAGGAAGCAAGTTCGAACACGTTCTTGGACATCACTGGATCGACTGTTGGATCCACTGCCCATCAAGCGGGCACGCAGGACCTTACCACTGCTGGGCGAGGCGGAGACTTCCTTGTGGCAGTGGTGTCGGGCGATCGAATTGGAGTGACTGGGCGGGCTTGACTCTGTTCCATGGAATTGTTGTCATCCAAGCTGTTGTCCTTGGAAATGGGTGTTCCCAGCAAGTGTTAAACAGTGCATGACAGTGCCTTTGCTGCAGAAGCTGGTGTAGATGAACACTTTTAGACGCAATCACAAAGGCCCTGATGGCCAAGTTGTACTGTTTCTCTCGCATATTATGTCAAGAGAAATCCAGGCCAACCTCCTGAGAATTTGTACTCGCAGGTTTGACTACAGTTTTGGCCTAGATTTACTGCATTGATTTGAGAGACAGTTGCCTGCCTCGTTGCTGAGCCAACGTGGGAATCCACGCTTAGTTGAGGAACAGCTGCCCTGTTCAGCAAAGAAGGCACCTGTTACTACTAGCGTGGCACTTGTTACTACTAGTAAGGCACCTGTTACTACTAGCGTGGCACTTGGTTCTCGGGGGGTCTTTGTTACCAGTCACATCTTCCCACGGTCGACCAACGACTGGCACCTGAGACTCGGCTCCGCAGGCGCGGAGTTGGACCAGCCATGTGGCGAGCACCTTTCAGGACCCGGAGGGTGCAAATCATCTGTGTTTTCGCCCGCTCTCCCCCTCCCTACTCAATTCAGTAAGCACCTGCTTGATTAAGTAAGGGAGAAGTTTGCTTCTAGCTACTAGTTAGCTTCTAGGTAGGACAGGATAGCGAAGACGCTTCTTTAAGGAAGCTTCCCCCAGCCCTCAGGCCGGGGGTGCTTCCTTGAAGAAGCGTCTTCGCCGAGTCTTCGCTATCCTGCTGTGGTTCCTTCGATCTGGACACGTCGCTAGGACAGGCCGACACAGGTCCAGCCCAGCGCGCCTCCCTTGGAGCCTGGATTTGCAGGGACGCCTAGAGTTTCGTTGGGTCGAAGTGCGTTCGTCGTCTCTCGCGGCACTGAAATGGTAAGACTGATGGACTCCCTTTGCTAGTAGTAAGAATAGGAGCCCCTAGTAGCTTCTTGCTCCTAGTAGTAAGGCCAGGAGACCCCCTGTTCGTAGCGTCCGATCGCGAACCGTTCGTAGCGATGCCCTTTTGTGACGTTCGTAGCTTCTTGTTATTACTAGCGTCCTTGTTACTACTAGTAAGGCACTTGTTACTAGAAGCGATGCACTGGTTCCTAGTAGCTTCTTGTTATTACTAGCGTCCTTGTTACTACTAGTAAGGCACTTGTTACTAGAAGCGATGCACTGGTTCCTAGTAGCTTCTTGTTATTACTAGCGTCCTTGTTACTACTAGCGTGGCACTTGTTACTAGAAGCGATGCACTTGTTCCTAGTAGCTTCTTGTTACATCACACGTCTCGCACCGGAAAAGACCGATTCCGTGAGTCCGCGACATCGCCACCGGCGCCATCGCCCAGGAGCCGACAGCGCAACAGGCCCTTCACCAGCTGGATTGAAAAGGGGGGGCGGGTGGCGCGTACAGCGTACGGCTGTGGGGTTGGTATGATTGGCAGTATCCTTCAACTGAAGGTGGACAAACACAGGCTTTGCAGATCAAAGGGGTCGTTGGAGGGGTCCGCGCTGGGGAAGCAGCTACAAGGTTTTGGTTCAATAGTCTGACGCTTCACATGATTCTCGTTTGGCGGGTTAAGCTTTAGCATTTCTTTTTTGGAGTTGTAGTCGAAGCCAAAGCCCGTTTGTTGCTCATACCAGAATCGAAGCAGTTGTTCATCTTGTTACCTCTTGGTTATATCAAAGCGAGTACAACAATGTGCATGACAAGGAGCATCAAGCAACTTGTTTAGATTGCGTCAAAAGCAGCAGCTTTGACATCATAATTATCCAAGAGGTGCCCCCTTTGTCACGGGCCCGCAATGCTTCCATGCGCGATGGTTCGTACACGTGCGAGCGTTTGTGTGTGTGTGCTATCCTGTGAAAAGGGATTTTGACTAGTAGCAAATAGCTACTAGTAGCGTCCTTGCTCCTAGTAGCGATGCCCTTTGTTCCTAGTAGCTTCTTGCTCCCAGTAGCGATGGATGCCAGGAGCCCCTAGTAGCGTCCGATCGCTCCTATTGGTTGCCTGACCTCTCGCAGATTGGCTCAAAGATGGAACATTTGGCGGTCAGAAATGCGCCACATGTTGCCCGTGCCTTGATTGAACACTAGCGGTTAGGATCTCCCCTCGCTCTCTGGCTAAACCATCATCCATGTCCTTTGCAAAGGCAGCAGCGCCCCCTCATTCCAGCATGTAAGTTAACTCTTGGGATGAGATTCTTTCTTCAAAGCGGAAAAAAAAATTGTCTCTTGCAATGCTGAGGCTCCAGCCAAAAGCTGAGGAGGTCCAGTCAAACAGTGTCAACATGTGTCAACTTCAAAGGGTGGACACCGAGGTTCGGCTGGGTGTGAAGCCATCCGTGTGCTTTTGCGCATTTGGGGGACGATACCATTCTGCTCTTGAGACCCACCAAAGCAAGAAGTGCTCGATGTTTAGCTTCTGTTCCTAATAGCTTCTTGTTACTAGTAGTAAGGCACTTGTTACTAGAAGCGATGCACTTGTTCCTAATAGCTTCTTGTTTATCTCAAGTTTGTGGGTTGGGGTCGGGGTCAGGGTGGGATCGATGGCTATAACCTTTGAGGGAGGCCCCAGAGGGAGGCCCCAAGGCGCTGTTGTAGTTCTTTGCCTACTCGAGCTTTTGTTTATCCACTTCTTCGTGAAGAAATTCTAGATCACAGTTGGCAAAGTCGATGCGCCGTGCTCGTTTAAGCGTCTATGCAAAGCCACGGAGATTCAATTTGTGTTTGTCTCTCCACGCCGTCCTGGCAGGGCATAAACTGTACAGAGGTTCGCAAGATTCCAGGGGATTCTCAACACCACTGCTCCCCCAGGAAGTAATGCAGGTACAGTATGTCTCAGTGATTCCTAGTTTACAAATTCCTGGAGTCCAGCAGTGTGTTTGCCAGGAACAAGAAGGCGCTTGGCCAAACCATTTCCTGGCTAGAAAAGATACTGCTGACTTTTTATCAGCGTTTCTATCGCTCAACAACTAACTACTTGCTTGAAGTTTCAACCATTGTAACTCCCACTTTTGCACTGTTCTTCCCGTTGGCAGTTAAAAATCAGAGGGCATAGATAGGTTCATTTCATGCCTCGAGTTTCTTTTTTCTCGGTGCCTTTGAAAGCAGGACGGGCGCATTGAGCGCTGCGGTATCCACGATATGCCTGAGCTCTGCTGGGGACCTCGTGCGCAGATGGTGGTTTTGGGGTCTTGTGTGATGCGTCCGGTGGAGTGCAGGGGAGAGCGCAAGTTGATCTACCAACCACCTTTTTTGGAGCTTGAAAGAAATCGATCACACTCAACAGCTCTACCTAAATGATGTGAAATTCACCGGGGGAGACCTTGAAGACGAGCACTTACAACGAACTAGTAGTGATCGAACGATGACGAACTCTTCCATGTCCAATTCGTGCGGCGCTGCCCACGGCGAGCCTGGCTCCACCAAGAACCACGTGGAGAACGTCCACCTTGTTGGAGGTCCACAGGTTGTGACCGGATGAAGTAGGATCAGCTTCTTGTTACGTTCGTAGCGTCCGATCGCTCCGTTCGTAGCGATGCCAGGAGCCCCGATCGTAGCTTCTTGGTTCTCTTTTTACAAATCTCCAGGTTTCCCCAAGTCCTTAGAGGCACCCGGCACGTTGCGAGGTCCGGTGTTGGACGCCCCAGAGCATGGCGCCATCAAGGCAGCAGGGCATTTTTGGAGGATTCCGAAGATGGGAAAGCCACTCGCTGAACTCCTAAAATCATGAATCAGTGGATGCATTCATCAACTTCTTCCAGCAACAGCCTTTTACCCTTTCTTTATCATGTTTTAAGAGCCCATATGTCGGGTGCCAAGATTTCTGATCCGAAAAGCGTGATCCACGAGTTGGCATTGCTTTTGGAGACGGCGATTGTTTCCAGGTGGAAGGCACTCCACACACCGAGGCCGGATGAGGGATCCTCCCGTGAGACTCTTCGGGTGATGTGTTTTGGCGAACGAAATGGATTGGCCGATTTCAGGCTGTTTTCCTCACTCCGTTGGAACGAAACACGGCGAAGCTTGGAGCCAAGTGTGATTTTTCCATCCTGGCCAATTGGTCGACTGAACGGATGTCACCGGAATTGGTCGGTTGCAAACCCAACTGGTGGGTTCGATCCACTTCAAGCTTGCATTGCAAAGTGTTCGATGCATATCCTGGATATCTTCTCTAAATATCGATAGGCTTGTCGTGTCCATTTATTTGGGGACCATGATTCATGCGTCAAGACGACTTGCTTCTGGGGGCTGCCAAACGAGCTTGGAGACCAAGGAGTCACATGACAAACGAAGAAGGGCGGGTTGCGAATGGACCAGCCCTAAACCTATGATGTGTTAAGAGCTGCAAAATGTTGAGTTCATTTGCAGGACACAGAATTTGGACCATACTTCATATGGGGATTGAGTTGAAATGAAAGGCTTGAGGGGCCGAGGATGTTCAACGAAGTTCCGAATGAGTTGGGTGGTTGCTCCTCATCAAGTTGATCAACTGAGCCAGGCCTGCTATGCACACACAGGCTCTGAGCTCATTGCAGAAATGACTTGTTTACCATGTCAGTTGGAGGTTCAGGCCTGCTATGTCACAATGCTGGAATTTGCTACAATATTGGCACTTGCAAAGGGTCAAAGACAAGTCCTGGCCATCTCAAACTAGTCAGTTGGTCAGCAGTTCAACTATTGTTCAGCATCCTCTCCATCATTTCTAAAGTGTTGAAACAGGTCACTTAAGCTCCCTTCAGCCTACTGGTGCGTTCAGTTGTTTACTACAACTTCCATTTTGGAGGTTGCATTCACTCTTCGATCGAGGCTGATCCATTGCAGGCTGCCTCACCGCAGCTTCAGGAGACGAGGCCCAGATTGCTTGGATTTCCTCCCCCACCAGGTTCAGTGGTTGCAACGTATCATCTAGCAGTCTTTGATTGGGTCAAGACAGGACAAGTCTGCAAACTCTGACCTCCATTTAGCCAATTCCTTGGACCAACCAAGCTCTGCCGCTGCCAGCCAGTAATTCCCACTTCACAACGAGGTCTCAAAGTGAGTGAGAGTTGATTGAGATCGAGATATTATATGATATACAACTTTATATATATATATATATATGATATATATATATATATATTTATATATTTATATATAAGAGATCCCAAAAAAGAATGCGAAAAGACCACAAAGGAAGAGCAATCGTTCGACCTGAAACGCTCAGGGTGATCGACCGCCTGCCGAGCAGTTTGGCTGCGGTGGGTCGCTTGGGGTCCTCCGCCCCTGTGGCCGTTCGGGTCACGCAGGCCCATCCGGGCGTGAGGCTTCAACCGAGTGCAAAGGGTCCAAGCGGCATTCGTGTTTTCTGCTTAACGAAGTAGATGGGTCTACTAGGGGCCGTCTAGGGATGGCCTCCAACCTACTAGCGGTGGCCTCCAACCTTATAGCAGGCCCGAGGCCCTGCGTTCCTACTTAATTCAGTAGAGACTGCCTACTTAATTAAGGAAGGGAGAAGCTCGCTCCCAGCTGTTTAAGCTACTACATACTCAGCGCAGGATAGCCCATGAACTAATGATTTCGTTTCTAAATTTTTACGGAGCGGCATTTGTGTTCTGCAAGACCTGCGGTTACCGTTGGGTAGTGGAGTCCAGTTTGCCGTGAGCCAAGCAGCGAAAAACGATCAACAGCTGTTTTGGAGTCTTCCTCGCAGTTTCTGGTGTTCATTCCCTTTGCCGCCGTGTCCTTCGGTGTCATCCACTGTGTCCGTCTGAAGCATTGACGTCCGATTGTTGGATGAAGCCACCAGGCCGTCCATGCAGTTGATACTCGTGGGCCACCCCAAGCTGCAATCTCAGTGACTCGCTGGGTGAGGACATCTGAAGAGGTCGTCCTTTTGGTTCCGTGAGAAGCCCATTTGGCCTGTATACACCGCAGATCTTTCCTTGAGAAGAGCATTTGGGGACGCACTTACTTATTCTTTCGATAAGACCAGAGCATCTCACGCAGCTCGCCTTTGGAGTTTGGAAGGGTTCACAATTATCCTTGGCTGCATGTGTGTACCACAAAGTTTGATGAGCTCCGATCAACGATGTTTGTGCCATTGCCTGGCTTTGATGCTGGAAAGCCCCGGCTTTGGTTTTGGCTTCTCAGAAGCGCCAGTTTCCAGAACCAAGCCAGCTTGGGACACCTGATCCAAGGTAGTGGTCTCCAGCAAAGAGAAGTCAGGCCACTTCTCTCGAGGCACTTCTGCAGTGAGGGCATGTTCAAAAGACACAATGCCAGCTGAAACAGACGACATTTGTTCTGCCATCGCTAGTAGGTTGGAGGTCTTATTGGTTTCATGTTGAACGGTTTTTCACCAGTCACTCCCGCTGCACAACGACGCCACACAACGCTTGGCTCCCACCGACGAGGAGTGCTTGACCGAATCAAGATGCGTCTTGAAGGACAGGGAACCTACGCAGTTGCTCGATGGCAGTCGAAGGTTTGTCATTGGGGATGGCCGGCAAGGATTGATGGGGCATTTCAGCAGGAGCTTTTTTCGAGGGAAATGATACAACAAGCCATAACGATCTCTCACAGGAGTCCTTCATTTTTGCTTTTGCCGCCCTGCTAAAAGGTTCAAAAACCAGGAAGATGAGGAATTGAAGAAAGCAGTTTCTTGAATGGAGATTCCTAAATTTTTGAATTTTTGACTCTTGGTGAGAGAACCCACTGATGGCTCGTACATGTCATCCCAGCGTGAAACAAAGTTGAGCTCAAACCTTGAGAGAGAGTCATGCTGATTGTGTTGCATGTGTTCTTTAGACCGTCAGACCGTTTGTTTATGTTCTTTTCTGTTCTTTTCTTTTGATCTCAACACGAAACTGAGCATAAAGACATCATCGAGGTGATTAGCGCGCTAGCCAGGACCTCAGCACGATCTGCCTCTGTGTCGTCCAATTTCCGCTCAATTTTCTCCAGAACCAGCGCATGTGCATTCCAACAATGCACCAAGCAGTGATCCTTGTTGCGTCTGATGAGTTTAAAGAAAGTTCTTCTGTAGAAAAATAGCCTTCATCATGTAGTCTTCAGCTGACCAAAACTGTCGAAGTGAGGTCGTGAACATGGGCATCCGCTTGTTGAGCGGCAATTCACCCGACATGCTCAGAGAGGTCTGGGATGTTAGCCTTTTGCTGTTAGCGGCTTTATCGCATGTGTGTGTGTGTGTGACCGTCCAGAAGATGGTACAGCAAAAGGACACTTCCAAATCGTTGGACATGTCCAAACCAAAGATGAAAATGTCCCACCGAAGCTGCATGAATTCTAAGTCTTTCGATACTGCCACATACTTCTTCCAGATCTGAAGAGATGTCCGAAAATCCATCCGTTGAGACCGAAAGTGTGTCTTTTTGTGTTCACCGTCTCTCCCTCTCTGTCTCCTCTCTCTCTCCCTCCCTCCGGAGGCTTGGGCGCCAGTCGCCTGCGCTTACTCTTGTGCCCTGGCGACCTGTGTCCTCAGTGGGGTATCGCTGGCTTGTACGGGACACTGAGGCCGATGGCCATGAAGCCGACACCGAACAAACTCGAAGATCTTCAAAAAAAGCAAACTAAAAATAATTTCAAAATGGCCATGGCCATGGCCTCCTACCTACTGCCAATGGCTTCCAACCTAATAGCATGGAGGCCCAACCTAATCAAAGAAGCTGACGAGGTTGTTCCTACATCGATCACAGCATTTTAGACTCACTGCAGCTGTTCTTCCACATGAGTCCAACTATGTGTTGAAAAGCTTTGGCCATTGATGACAGGTCTATGCCACGGTCATTTTTACGTTGACCAAGATGTATTCCATGACCGTGATCGGCAACTATAAGGCCTTGCAAATAGCTGGTGATGAATTCACCATGAAACATTTGGTGATGAGTGAAGATTGGCAACTAACAGCGAGAAGTTTCCTTTGCCAAGTCTTCAAGCTGGTGAAGAGAGTGTGGGCTGTCCAATGGCTCAGGATGCTCAATTTGCGGAGTTCTTCCAAGAGACTCAGAAATATCGCGAAGCAGGAGATTCCTGGGCAATAGTCAGATGGGTAGTCCGCGGCAGATTCACTTGGACAAACATCAGGTTCTCATTTGCGCTCGAGGCACGACTGATGCTTTGTGGGCAACACTTGGGATGGTAATGCATGGGTCGGTTTTTGCACAGTCTCAGGGAGCGCCTAGTTTCTTTTAAAAGCAACCCATTTTGCACCTCCAATCCTCACCTACTTGCAATGGCCTCCAATCTAGCAATGGCCTCCAGATAAACGAACTTTTGCACCTCCAATCTTCAAGCTTAAAAGCAATCAGAACATGTTTCCTCTTTTTCGATGGGTGGTCTGTATGCAAATGAACATGTCCAATGAGCTGTGTCCCTTTAAAGACACCCCAAGCTGCTGTCAGGATTCTGGGCCTTTTGCGCGTCCCTGGGGAGTTTTGCGTTCGCCTTTGTGACCTTCTTCCTTCTAAAGTGCCTTGGCCACGGTTCTCAAGGGGTTTTCTGTGGTGTTTCTTCAGGAGTTCCTTCACAAGCGTCATATGTTTTGGTTGAGCAAAAGGGCACAACCGCATGACCCTGGCAAAGGCTGTTCATCGGGTTCCAGGTTGCACTTCAATTCATGGAACAAGCGTTTCAGAGAATTCTCGCATTGGGCCTGGTCTTGTGCGCTACAGGATCCGAGGATGGCCTGGCATCACAGGTTTCACCCTGGGAGTGGCCATCGCGGTGAAGGCCCAGTTCTTCACTGTGGCGGTGACGATGGAAGAATGTTTGCCATTGCATTCACGAAGGTCGGATAGCTCAAGGCAAATTTAGAAGATCAGATCATTTGGACGCATTTTGGAGCTGAAGCCGCTAAGCTGGAGCTAAAGCCCGGTTCATATGTGTGCATCCTTTTCACCTGGAGGCAATGCTGGACTTCCGCGGCATTTACCGGCGTGTGGAGCTTTGGACCAGAAGCAGGAGAAGAATTCATAGGACTTTTTGCCAGAAAGGCTTCGATGTCATTGATGTGTTGCTTAAACTGTTGAAGGGTTGTTTCTTCAAGTGCCCCGGAACTTTGCATCGAAGGGCCGGGGCTATCAAGAGTAAGTCTTCTCATCCGGCACGGCTTCTTGAAACTCAAGGTGCAGGGAACATACTCCGATGATGCCTGAGACACAGCCCGCCGCGCGCCGCAGCTGTAGAAGCCCGTGTTGCTGATTGTTCTAGTCATAAACTTTTGCATAAATTGCATCATGTTCATCCACCTCTTGTCCAAATGACAGCCCATGTTCGCAGTTTCAAATGTTTAGGTCCGCTGTGCTCAAAACACAAAAATGTGTTCAGACTTTTTGAGGACCTTTTGGGGATTGACCAGGTGGGTGAGGATCCAATGCACAAAAGCAATATCTTTGGCGAACTCGAAGGTGCAGGGATTCTTGTTCCTAGCGATGCCCTTTGTTACTACTAGCGATGCACTTGTTCCTAATACCTTCTTGTTCCTAGTAGTAAGGCCAGGAGCTACTAGTAGCGTCCTTGCTCCTAGTAGCGATGCCCTTTGTTATTACTAGCGTCCTTGTTACTACTAGTAAGGCACTTGTTACTAGTAGCAAGTTTATAGATATTGTCATCTCCCTAGTAGTGTCCGATCGCTCCGTTCGTAGCGATGCCCTTTGCTCCGTTCGTAGCGTCCTTGCCATCAATCACCGGCTTTCAATCAGACTTCTGTGTTGCAACTCTCCCACCGAGTCCCACCTGTTGGAAGGTTGCCACTCCTACCCATTCGCTCAGGCTTCGTGCGCACATGCGAGGATCTGACCGGTTTTTCCACCGACATCTCTAGATGTCCATGTCTACCGAAGATCCATCTGAATTTGGGGCCTTGAGGCCTTGAGGCCTTGACCACCCCTTCCAAGCACGCGCTCTCTAGTGCAAAAGAACGTTATTATGTTTCTTTTATCCTTAATCCTTGAACTTAACTACACCCCTACTTCCAACATTGAACACTTTAGCTCTTGTGCACTTCGACAAGAAAGCTTGTTCATCTTGCTGTCCGTGAGCTTTTGCTTTTTTGTTCTAGAAAGATTACATCACGGATCCTCGAAAGATTGATGGGAATATGAAGCTCGAGCACATTGATCACTAGGCCTTGGAGCCAGATTTGTGGCTGTACAGTGCAAAGACTTTCCTCGTTCTGGCACGTCGGATGTCTTCAGAGCAGACAGCGCGTGCAGTTTTGGGACGCCAGCGCGAGACGACTCACATGTTCATTGTTCAGAGACAATTAGATTAAAGTCATAGCAATGGCCTGCAACCTACTAGGAGCTGTTTGGGGAAAGTTTCGCAGTTGGCTAAGAAACCCCCACTGCTTGTGGCCGTCGTCACCATTGCTCGAGTTCGCATTGCCGAGAGCTGTGGTTTGATCTGCCAGCCTTTCTGCCGCAAGTTCCCTCATGGAGTCGGCAGCACCGCATCACTGTTCTGATACCCAGAAGTGGGTCAAAACCTACAGAGAATGTTCTTTGATCTATGCGCCATTCAGCCATTTCACCCAAGGTATTTGATCGATTTGACCCAGACCCAAATTCCGTCGTCAAACTGAATCTGTTTGGCAACACTGAGTGACTGGTGTGTCAATGTGGAGAAGTGAACCCTGCCCTCAGACTCAGTGTCTCAACACGACCTGAGCCAAGTGGAGCAAAGTTCCGTGCCAAAAAGATGCAAAGCTTCGCTTGCTGCGCACACGAAACAAGACGTGATGATGGATGCGGAGAGATAGCCCAGAAATTGTTTTTCATGGATGGAGTTTCATCCCTGCGTCCACATTCTGTGTTCAGTGGCGAGTGGCGTAGAAGTGGCACTGGGCTTAAGGTGACCAGGCACTGTTGAGGATCGTTAGCAGGTATTCATTTGCAAGGATTATAGTAGCAGGAGGCAGTACTGAGGTTGATCAAACAAGAAGGCAGAATCAAGCAAAGGTGAATACTATGAGCACTATGAGCGTATGAGCAAAGCCAGAATAGCTAATAAGCAGCATGAGCAAACCCGCAATGAGGGAAGCAGAGAGAGCGAAGGCGGAGCTCCGGCAAAGGACGGTCCAGCAGAAGCTCACGCTGTTGTGCTCACGCTGAAGCTCAGCTTCACTTGGTGAACTCAGCTCGTCTTCGTCAGGACCATCAAAGAGCTCAAGGAAATGCTTAGCAAGGTGGCCCAGAGAGAAGACGTGTGATCACGCAGCATGTTCCAACAAACATGAAGCAGCCGGATTCCCACTAGGGGCTCCTGGCCTTACTACTAAGGAACAAAGACGCTACTACGAGCAAAG